ATCAAAGATGGGAGTTGAAGTGTCCCTGAGTGTTGTCTGGGTTTTTCTGTCCTGCCTGGTTCCCACAATCATTACCTCCCAAGAAATCACACAGAGGTCTACATTAGTTATAAACTGATTGGCCCATTAACTCAGCTTCCTATTTACTCTTACAACTTATATTAGCCCATTATTCTTATCTGTGTTAGCCACATGGCTCAGTATCTTTTTCAGCAGGGCAGTCACATCTTGCTTCTTCTGTGGCTGGGCTAGGACTGCAGAGGAATGGGCTTTCCTCTTCCCAGAATTCTGCTCTCATTGACCCACCTCCACTTCCTGTCTGGTTGTCCCACCTATACTTCCTGCCTGGCTACTGGCCAATCAGCGTTTATTTAAAGTATAAGTGACAGACATTTGTCCCATAGGAAGCACTTCTAGAAGACGATGCCCTAGTGGGATGGAATCTTAAAGTCTATTGGCTGAAGGAGCAGAATGTGCTTCCACAGCACCTCAGTATTAATTCAACTAGAATTCATCAAATATTAGGGAAATACTCTTTTGATTGTTGAATGGTGGAGGTAAGCATATCACTAGTGTGCTTAACCCATCCTGTGCCTTGTCTCAGTTTATTTCACATGCTTAAGTTTCTGTTTTAGAGTTTGGGAAGTCCACAATCAAAGCATGTGGTTTAGGTGACTCATGAGGGCTCATTTTTCTTTGATGATACTTTGTTTCCTCACTTTCTGGAATAGGCAAGTTAGGTCTCTACTTCTCACACAGACACTGGTCTTATTTATAATGTTCTGCAACATGACCTAGTCACTTTCTAGAAGGCACAACTGCCTAATACTCTCATGGTGGAAGTTTGGATTTTGGTTTGACACAAAGATTCAGCCCATAACAGCAAGTAGCTAAGTCTATCCAGAGTCACCTCAACCAAACTGTAAATCTCATAGTTACCAGTGAGCAAGGGAATAAAAAGTGTAATGGCTTTAACCTTTTCCTGAATTCCATGTACAAGGTGATCATTTTCCTATTTTCTCTCTTGTTACTATGTTTGTATATCTCAGGCTTTAATTACATTGAGCTAATAGACTGCATTTTTCCTCCAATTCTCGGAGACTTAAAATCTAGTTTGTCACCTGTTCTCATTTTATTTGCAGAAGGAACCTTTGTGGTATGCCCCAGATGCATAGCAGTTGAACACACGTAGAGAGGCAGGACTGTGAGAAGTGATGATGGGGATATTCTTGTGATGTTGATATTTTTTCCTTCTTATAACAGTGGTTAGGAACTGTTTCTTATGTGTGAGGTGAAGAGTGGTAAAGTAACTAAGGTTTTGTACTATGCTATGTTGTATCTACCTCCTCTACACTTGCTTCATAACTTCTGTTTCTATTTACATCATCTTTTCAAGTTATGTTTGCATCCATGTAGACAGCTGTTAGCTGATTGCCTAGGTTGGGAGCTTTCTTTTGTCTCTAAGGTGAAATCTAGTTGGCTCTCTGAACCTTACCTGCCATCTCCCCTGAAGATGTGCATTGGAGGGCAAGTCAAATGGCTTTCTGTAAAGAGCAGATCACACTTCCTTTGTCACCTGCCCCTTGAGATTATCATGTTGAGAGACAAGCTATCTTGCAGCAAGAAGGATGCTGCCAGCAAGCACTGGCAAACATCTGCCTCCTTTACTTCCTGTTTACCTCACAGTTTCAGATTGAAAAAATTGATCATTTATTAAAAATTACTTTCACTGTGAATAATACACACTTTAAAGTAAACTAGTTTTTTTTTAACATTAAACAAGTGTTAGAACAATGCATGATTATGGCACAGATCTGTAGCATGACAGTCACTTTTGGATACTCATCGTCTTCCAGGATGGCAGCTCCGATGAACATTTTTCAAAACGGTTTCCAAAGTCGAAAGAGAAAGGAATTGCTAGAATACTGTGTGCCTGAGCCCCTATTCTCACATACTAGGCAAGTCTCCAGAAAGCCCGAGTTGCACATCCAGGGATGCTTTATTAACACTTCTCCCCAGTGCAGAGTCTACCTGCAGCACCCTGCCCTTTCTGCCATTGGCACTGCATGAACTAGCAAGGTACCCACTGCTGAGCCTACCTGGGTGCTCACCTGGATGGGACTCCTTTCAGCAGAGTGCAGCTTTCATGCTGCATTTGTCAGTCAGATCACGCAGCCACTGCAGAGCAGGAGCTGGCACAGACTCTTCCTGCAGCTCAGGCAGCAATGTTCTCGGCAGGTGTCACTGTATGTTATCACAGTGGCCATGAACAAAATGGTCCTCTCGCTTATGAAGATGCCATCTATTTGATGAAAGCTTTTAGTGAATAATTGTCAAGGAATTATTAGAAAAAAAATAAACCACAAATGGTGAGCATATGCAATATTTGTATTAGGTATCGATGGGCAAAAATTACTGAGAAAATCAGCATCTTAGAATATGGAATCAATAAAAATGTACTGAAATTCAGTAAAAGTGTGAGAACATATTTAATGTCCTTCTGAGAGAAAATGAAAGCATAGACTTTTACTAATCAGACTGACAGAGATGGAAAAGAAAGCCATGCTTGTGAAGAAGTGGAAAGTTGCTTTTCCCATGTTGTTGATGATCAGTCTTTGTGTAGGGTTGATTGGCAGTACGTGGTGACAATTTGAAATCCACATTTATCTGTGTGACAGTTCTTTACTTCCTACCTAACTCTACCACACAGGTCACAGCCCATAGGAGGCTGGTCCACATTGTTCAGTTCAGTACCATTTATTTCTTTCACTTGTAGGTGCAATGCATGCTCTGCATCCCTTTCCTCTGGTGTGTAACTCTCTGGAGTTGGGGATTGGTTATAGTGTTGGTATAAGAAAGCAGCATCTTGTTCTAGCCATTGTGTGACTCGGCAGATGAAGCCTAACCCAAGTGACTGCTATGGTAACATTTGTGTGGCAACATTTATAATCTGTTTATATACACATTGTATTAATTTGCTACAATCTTGTGATGACCTCAGATTCTCTTTAATCAATCCAAGTAGTCAGTACAGTTGTCTCCCACTTTCAGCCTAACCCTGCATTAAGGGCATTGCAGCCATTAATTATTGAGTTGATTTGTAAAAATCCTGGTTGTGGGAAATCAGCCTAGACTGTTCACAAATATAGCTCTCAGCAGATACTTCTTAGCTTTAATTCTTTATGCTGGTATATATCTCAGTTATCAAATTTCAGGGAAGTCATGTATATCTTTTTACTGAATTAACTCTATTTTTCTAAGATAAATCAATAAGAAAAAGAAGAGTAGCTGACATTTTTCATCTTTCATTTTTAAAGAACACTCTGATAATACTGTTATAGGAATTTCACATTCTGTTTCTTAAGAAATCTTCATTGTTAGTTCAGTTTATGAAGAATAGAAAAAGAGGAAAGCTGACATTGTAGATTTTAAAGATTATGAGGAAATTTCCTTTGGGTTTACAGTGACCTGGATAACTGAATACTACACTTTGAGTTTGTTTTTCCTCTTGTTTTCTTTCTTATCTGCCTTCCTTAAGTGTCTGGATTATATAACTAGGAATTCTGGGGAAGGGGTAGTTAAGCCCCCACTACCATTGCTTTGAATTGAGTCCCTTGGCACTGATAGTGACTGTGCTTTCCTGAAATACCATATTGGCCACTGCCTCATACTACTGACTCAATAGCTTTGGGGAAGTTTTACCTCTTTCAGAGATCATAATAAGAAATAAAAAAGTCCTTGAAATTCATGATATTCTTTTTGATCACTTTAAAGCACCTACTTTAGTAGATTTTTTTTTTTTAAATTGGGGCAGCTTACACTTTCAGAATTTTAGTCCGTTAAGCTCATGGTGGGTTGTGGCAGCTTGCAGGCAGACATGCTGCTTGAAAAGAAGGTGCGATAGATTCATCTTAATCAGCAGATCAAGAACTGTAACATTGGGCAAAGCTTGAAAATAGGAGACCCAACAATGCCACACTTTTCCCAACATGGACACACCTACTCTAACAAGTATATGCATCCTATTAGTGCCATTCTCTCTAAGGTCCATTTTCTTTCAAACCAGCCCAAACTGTCAAGTAAAGGATAATCATGCTACAATACACAGATGCAGAGAAGCCAAGTTACGAGTATGGCTCAAGAGGAGATGCATGAATCTCCTGAGGAAGGGGAAATATAGTAGATATTGAGGATGAACTGGATGAAGGCAGGGATGTGGAAAGGCGGGATCAGGTAGGGGAAGCATGGAGGGAGAACGTAATGGGAGGAACAACTGGAACTTGGGGCAATTCAGTGGTAGCGTAGAAACATAGTGCAATGTAAACTCCCTGGAATCAGTTAGGGAGATGCTACCTAAGACTCCAGGCAAGCCTTATAGTGGAGGGAATGAAGCACTAACCCAACTGCAAATTTTTTGATTTACAATTTTTTTCTGCCAACAAGATGTGCTGCAATAAAAGAGGCACAGAATAAATGGGAGTGACCAATTAGCAGGTCCTATGTGAGACCCGTGACTTAAGAGGGAGAATACCCCTGATATTTCCTGAAGTAAGAGAAACCAGACGCCTAATGTCCTGAAGACCTATTATAGAACCAAACAAGTCAGAAAAAAGTAAATAAAATTATGCCTAATACATCAGTTAGACTCCTTCAAATAACTGATGAAAATAGAAAAAAGCCCACAGCTAAACATTAGGGAGAACTCAATGAAGAATCTGTTTTCAATTTAAAAAGGCATTTGAGTAATGAAAATCTGATTCAAAAGTGGCTCTTATCTGAAGCTCTTCTAGAATCCCACTTGCAAGGCAGAGGGTGATGTCACTGATTCACCAAGTTCTACTTCCCTAACTGAACTACTGTGCAAAACTCCTTTTTGCAAATGAAATTATTATAGAGTATGGTCTTTTGTGTGTCCCAATTGTTGTAACTGTACTATAATTTGCAATATTGGTATCAATATATTTGTGAGATGAAATTAAGTAAAATTTCTAGTGTTGTCATTAAAAGGTGATTTTTTTCTTGCAAAAGACTCTTATCAGGGCCTCTTTCATATCTCTGTTCCTCAGGCTGTAGATGAAGGGATTCAGCATGGGAGTCACCACTGTGTACATCATGACTATGACAGTTTCCTTCACAGAGTCGTTAACTGATGGACATAAGTAGACACCAATAATTGTCCCATAGAACAGTGAGATCACAGACAGGTGGGAGCCACAGATGGAGAAGACCTTGTGAATAACCCGAACAGATGAAACCTTTAGGATGGAGTAGACAATTTGTACGTAGGACACAATGATGAGTGAGAATGGGATGACAATAACGGGACCTCCCAAGATAAATACCATTAGTTCATTGATAAAAATATCAGGGCATGCCAACTTGAGCAGGGCAGATATGTCACAGAAAAACTGGGGGATCATGTTGTCCTCACAGAAAGACAATCTAGCCAAGAGTAGGGTGTGTAGCATAGAATACAATACGTTAAATACCCAGGACATTGCTACCACACACACACAGAGCTTGGGGCTCATGATGCTGGAGTAATGAAGGGGGAAGCAGATGGCCACATAGCGGTCGTAGGCCATGACCATAAGAAGGAAGTTTTCCATGTTTCCAAAAACCATGAAAAAGTACATTTGTGTCAGACAACCCACATAGGAGATGGATGGATCTTGGCTCTGCATATTCGTCAGCAACTTTGGCATTGTGACAGAGGAAAAGCAGAGGTCAGAGAAGGACAAATTACTGAGAAAGAAGTACATTGGTGTGTGAAGATGGGAGTTCAGTAGAATGAGTGTGATGATGATGAAGTTCCCCATGATGGTGACGAGGTACATGGCCAGGAACAGGACATAGAACAGTGACTGATGTTCTAGAGGAATGGGCAGATCCTGGAGGATGAAAAAAAAGATGACAGTTTGGTTTTTCATTATCATACTTATTACCCAGTATCCTAAGGACAAAATATGAGGATCCTTTCAAATAAAAAAATGAATATATATTTTGGATATATTTATACAAAAAGAGATCTGACAATGATTACAGTGACTATATCCTCAAACTCCAAATGTCAGTAATCATTACAATCATTAATGATTTTTTCCAGCCTCTTCTTAAGCTGATTCTATCTCCCATCCTTTTCAAGAGAGATCTATGCATTTTATACTGAATGTCAGATGAACTAATTTTTCTGTCTCCTACTGCCTGCTCAACTGTTGTTCATCCATTTGTAATTTACTGTGTCTTATTTTGTATGTTGATGTTATTTAAAAATTTGATAAACTTTGTGCTTGTAATTTTATATGTTTCAAGAAAAACACACATACTCTAGTGTCTTAGATTACCATTTAAAATCAGATGTGTATGTCTTGTAACACACAGATTTCTGCTTTGCTATTCACTAAAAATCTTCTTGCCACTGCACGTATGGCAGGCATAAGGAGCTCAAAAGCCACAAGAAAAAAATCATGTCTTCATTCTGTTGTCCTCCAAGCATTCCTCAACCTCCTACCTCCCAGTCTCTCACTGGATAGTAACAGAAATTCAAGTTTGTGTCAGAAATCTCTTAATTTGACTCATTTCCCTTACCTTGAATTACTGTTGCATATTATACAGAGTCTACCATTCATTCCCCGGCTAATTTATTCATTCTTTTCTGAGTGATTATGTCCATATTTCAGGATCACTTCTTTTCTTTACTGGAACACAGAAGCAGATTCAGTTCATGTCCATGTTCTTATTTTTCTTTTTTTTCTGTTCTTTTTTTAAATTAATTTATTTATTTGTTTATAAAAATTTCCACTTCCTCCCCTCCTCCCAATATCCCCTCATTCCCCCCACTTCCTCTCCTCGCCACCCCCCACTCTCTCTCCTCCTCCCTCTCCAGTCCTAAGAGCTGTCAGGGCTTCCTGTCCTGTGGGAAGTTCAAGTTCCTCCCCTCCAGGTCTAGGAAGGTGAGCATCCAAACAGACTAGGATCCCAAAAAGCCAGTACATGCAGACAAAACAAGACCCAGTGCCATTGTCAATGGCTTCTCAGTCAGCCCCCATGTCAGCCACATTCAGAGAATCCAGTTTGATCACATGCTCGTACAGTCCCAGTCCAGCTGGCCTTGGTGAGCTCCCATTAGATCAGTCCCCTTGTATCAGAGGGTGAACGCACCCCTCGCGGTCCTGATTTCCTTTTTCATGTTCTCCCTCCTTAGCTCTTCCTGGAAGTTCTGGTAGAATTCTGCATTGAAACCATCTGGTCCTGGGCTTTTTTTGGTAGGGAGATTTTTGATACCAGCTTCTAATTCTTCATGACTGACAGGTCTATTTAGATTGTTCAACTGGTCTTGGTTCAACTTTGGTATATGGTACTTATCTAAAAAAAATCCATTTCTTTTACATTTTCCAATTTTGTGGCATACAGGCTTTTGTAGTAAGATCTAATGATTCTCGGGATTTCCTCTGTGTCTGTGGTTATGTCCCCCTTTTCATTTCTGATCTTATTAATTTGATCTCTCTTTAATTAATTAATTAATTAATTAATCTCTCTGCCGTTTGATTAGTTTGGAGAGGGGTTTGTCAATCTTGTTGATTTTCTCCAAGAACCAGCTTTTTGTTACATTGATTCTTTGGATTGTTTTCTGTGTTTCTATTTTGTTGATTTCAGTCCTCAGTTTGATTATTTCTAGTCTTCTACTCCTCCTGGGTGAATCAGCTTCTTTTTTTTCTAGAGCTTTCAAGTGTGCTGTTAAGTCTCTAATGTGTGCTTTCTCCGTTTTCTTTAATTGGGCACTTAGTAATTGGGCACTTTCCTCTTAGCACTACTTTCATAGTGTCCCATAGGTTTGAGTATGTTGTGTCTTTATTTTCATTAAATTCAAGGAAGACTTTAATTTCTTTCTTTATTTCTTCCTTGACCCAGGGGTGATTTAGTAGTTGACTGTTCAACTTCCATGAGTTTGTTGGCTTCCTGGGGGCAGCATTGTTGTTGAAGTCTAACTTTAATCCATGGTGGTCTGACAAGACACAGGTGGTTACTAATATTTTTTTGTATCTGTGGAAGTTTGCTTTGTTACCGAGTATGTGGTCAATTTTCGAGAAGGTTCCATGAGCTGCAGAGAAGAAGGTATATTCTTTCCTATTTGGATGGAATGTTCTATAGATATCTGTTAAGTCCATTTGATTCATTACCTCTTTTAATTCTCTTATTTCTCTGTTGAGTTTCTGTCTGATTGACCTGTCCATTGGTGAGAGAGGTGTGTTGAAGTCTCCTACTATTAGTATGTGTGGTTTGATGACTGCCTTGAGTTCGAGAAGTTTCTCTTTTACATAAGTGGGTGCTTTTATATTAGGGACATAGATATTCAGGATTGAGACTTCCTCCTGATGAATTGTTCCTGTTATGAGTAAAAAATGTCCATCTCCATCTCTTCTGTTTGATTTTAGTTTGAAGTCAATTTTGTTAGAAATTAGAATGGCCACACCCGCTTGTTTCTTAGGTCTGTTTGCTTGGACAACCTTTTCCCAACCCTTTACTCTGAGTAGATATCTGTCTTTGTGGTTGAGGTGTGTTTCTTGTAAAGAGCAGAATGTTGGATCCTGTTTTTGTATCCAATCTTTTAGTCTGTGCCTTTTTATAGGTGAGTTGAGTCCATTAATATTAAGTGATATTAATGACCAGTGGTTGTTGACTCCGGTTATTATTTTTTTTATTTTTATTTTTTTTGTGTGTAGTAGAGTTTGTATGTTTCCCTTCTTTGAGTTGTGGTTGTGAAGGGTTGCTAGATGTCTGAGTTATTTTAGGCAGTGTTGGCTTCCTTCGGTTGCGATTTTCCTTTTATTACTTTTCATAAGGCTGGATTTGTGGCTACGAATTGTTTAAATTTGCTTTTATCCTGGAATATTTTGTTTTCTTCATTGATAGTGAATGATAGCTTGGCTGGGTATAGTAGTCTGGGTTTGCATCCATGGTCTCTTAGTTTCTGCAGTACCTCTATCCAGGACCTTCTGGCTTTCATGGTTTCCATAGAGAAGTCCGGTGTAAGTCTGATAGGTTTACCTTTATAAGTTTCTTGACCTTTTTCCTTTGCAGCTCTTAGTATTCTTTCTTTAATCTGAACATTTTGTGTTTTGATTATTATATGGCGAGGGGATTTTTTTTTGATCCAGTCTATTCTATGCTTCTTGAACCTTCATAGGAATATCGTTCTTTAGGTTGGGAAAGTTTTCTTCTATAATTTTGTTGAATATATTTTCTGGGCCTTTGATCTGCAATTCTTCTCCTTCTTCAATCCCTATTATTCTTAGATTTGGTTTTTTTTATTGTGTCCCAGATTTCTTGAATGTTTTGTGATGAGAATTTGTTGGATTTGCTGTTTTCTTTATCAGAGCGTTTATTTTCTCTATGGTGTCTTCAGACTCTGAGATTCGTTCTTCTATCTCTTGTATTCTATTGGTTATGCTTGATTCTTCATTCTCTGTTCGTTTACCTAGATTTTCCATATCCAGCCAGCCCTCGGTTTGTGTTTTCTTCATTGCCTCCATTTCAGTTTTCAATTCTTGAACTGTTTCCATTACCTGTTTGATTGTTTTTTCTTGGTTTCCCAGGGTATCATTCACAGATTTACTCATTTCTTCAAACCTTTTGTTATACTTCTCATCCATTTCTTTACTCATTTCTTCAAACTTTTTGTTATACTTCTCATCCAATTCTTTAAGGGAGTTATTCATATCATGTTTAAGGGACTCTATTGCTTTCATAATGGCACTTTTTTCCTCTTCTTCTGGATTAAAGTGTTCAAGTCCTTCTACTGTAGGGTCGTTGGGGTCTGGTGTTTTCATGTTGTTTTTCAGATTGTTGGAGGAGTTCTTGCCTTGGTGTCTGCCTATCTCTTCCTTCAAATGCTCTCTATTGGATCTTCTGATATCTGGTCAGGTTCCCTTGTTGGGCAGGGACTTCACTGACAGAAGGCCTACCTTTCCTCAGGCAGGCTATTGAAACACAGGAACTGCCTCTTGCTGGGTTGTTCTTCCTGTCCAGGCCTAGAGCGCAAGGGAGTTGAGCTGGAAAATTTTATGGCCCCAGGGGGAAGGGAGGAAAAAGGAAGGTGTACCTGGATGAAATCTGGGATGGGAGGCAGGAGAGCTTAGCAGGGTGGGGCCACCACTGCAGGGTGACCAGGGAGTCAAAGGGGACGGGAAAGTCTGAACTCCTCCTAGCCGGGCTTCTGCCGCGGGCCAGGAACAAACTCACCCCTCCGATGTAAGTCCGCCAGAGACTCAGAGCCCCTTGCTGGCCAGGAATGCCGATCTGACACAGGGCCCACTTGTCCTCACGCAGGCTATTGAAACACAGGAACTGCCTCCTGCCGGGGGTTGTGCTTCTTGCCCGGGGTTGTGCATCCTGCCTAGGCCCAGAGAGCAAGGTATCTGAGCTGGGGAAATTTTATGACCCCAGGGGGAAGGGAGGCTACTGTAGTAGATCTTAAGATAACTAAATGAATTCTGTCTGTTTTTGCTAAAGGAGATATCTGTTTTTACTGGGTTCTAATACAGGAGAGCATTAATAAGTGGCTTCCAGATTCTTTATGTTTTCATCCTTTTACTGAACATAAAAAAATATTTTAATTTTAGCCAGGACTAGTTTGTCTTCATTCTTACCACTTTTCTGTCCTCAGATTCACCATGAAACATGTTTGCAAATGACCACTAGGACTTACATTGTTTTTTAAACCATTAATTGATTAATGTTCTGCATTCCATTCAGTCTCCCTCCCTCCCTCCCTCCCTCCCTCCCTCCCTCCCTCCCTCCCTCCCTGCCTCCCTCCCTCCTTCCCTCCTTTTCTTCTTCTTTCGCCCTTCTCACCAATCTTCCTTTCTCCCATTTACTCTTCCTTTCTCTTCAGAAAAGGGCAGGCTTCTCATTTATGTCAGCCAGCCAATGGCAT